AAGCCAGCACGCTGGCTGCCATCATAGTTGAAGTGGGTAAGCCAGCACGCTGGCTGCCATTGTCCCCTTACCAGCAGCCCAAATGCTCACGACGATGAGCTGGGCTGTCACCGCTTGGCCGCCGGTGGGGGGTTTGGGAGGCCGCATCGCACACAAACACCCACACACTCCCTCAACTTCCACGAACGCACACATACGCAGACTCCTTTCCACACGGACATGGACACACGCACAGAAACCCACACACTACCTCAACTCACTCGACTTAACACTTCTCACTACACACTTACCGGATAACTCGCACTCTGATTTCCTACGTGATGAAAAATGCTTTCGGGCCACTCGTCGTCTAGTTTTTTGAAGGGGGGGATGTCAGACTATGGGATTTGTATGGATTTGTGTACACCTGTGGACTAGGGACACAATCTTGTGTCAGGCACTTCTACTTCACAACCGACCCCCCCCTCACAGTGGTTCTCTCCCAAATCGCCTGAAGAAGTAACAGCAATAGCAGGAAGCAGTGCCACTGCCGGTAGTAGTGCTGTAGTAGTGATGTGGGTTCCCATGAAGTGACCACAGGGTGAAAAAGACAGCCTGCGACAGGGTGATGAACAAAAACAAAAACAGAAACGTGTCCGACGAGATGGACATAGAACCCAAACAGGGCAGAACAAAAACATGCCCGTCGTTCGTGTGGTGAGGTCCACTCCCAGCGACGTACTGGCGCCCACCCGCGATCCGGGCCCTTTGGTGCCAGGTGGTCCGGCTGCCGGCCATGCAAATCTTTGCAAGTTCGCTGAAGACCAGCCACTTGGATTGGAGAAGATGCAATGTTGAGGGTGGGTGAGGGCACAGATTGGAGTTGCTGTGATGTACTCAGAAAACTCTTGGCTCAGTCTTCCCAAGTGGCGGTGAACAAGAACAAGTAATGGGTGTGCTAAGAAGATAGGATTTGAGCGATGAGTCGTCAGGGGAAGTACAATGTTCTTCGCCTCTTTTGCACTAGGTGAGCATCCTAAACTTACTCGCACTGTTCAACTCACATCATGGACCGAAAGTGAAGACCGTGTGGTCTTTGTGTTTCTTCTCCACTGGAAGTGAGTAGCAAGTGCATCGCTACTATAGTACAAGTGCATTGCTATTGCTACTGGTAGTAATACCCTTGTTACTAGTGGCTTCTTGATGCTGTCCACATGCGTCGATTCGCCGGAAAACCCAACTCCACAGCTCCCCCCGACTCACGTGGACCGACTCAGGTGCCGTCGTGGTGGCCGCCCTGCTGCGGGATCTGAAGGATGGGAACCGGTGTTTCCGGCGGTGTCCGGCGGTGCGAGGTCCGGTGCGAGGTCCGAAGCCACGTCTTCAGACGAGGGCGCGGTGGAACGGTGGTATACGAGCTTGGACAGCATGCCCTGCAACGGTCGTTTTCAACGGCCCCCCCTGATGGAGAGCGCGAATGAATTGGGCGATGGATGGAGTTCCGGTGCAAGTTGGGCAACTGGGGGGGATCCATTCCGACCTTCTTGGAGGTAGTCTAGAGCCCTTGTGTCATGTTACTTTGACCAAGAAGTTTCATCCACTGCAGAAGTTTGGGCGGACTCGCTAGGTGTTTCGCAGCTGCAGTCTATAAATCTTAGCAAAGTTGGGTCAGATCCTGGGGCCAGTTGGCAAATTCACTGCAAACGAAAAGCAATGAAGAACTAATGGGAGGACTCCAAGAGTTCATCAACAAATGAAGAACTTCAAATGGTCAAACTGGTCATTTTGTATTTGTTTTCTTTCTGGGTCTCCATAGATTGGGATCCATGTCTCCAGATCGTCTCCGGCTTGTCAGGAGCCCAGCAAATCCAAAGGAGTGGAAATCGATTCCGCCGGGAACGCCCAACGAATGACGGAGTGACGGACGCGGCTGGACCGGCGGGGATTTCACCCTGCAGAAACTGGTCGGTGGCATTCGTTCATGTTTTCTTTCCAACATGCATCCACAGCTGCACATCTTCAAGTACCCAAGAATCCGCGACACCGAAACAAAAGCACATCTATCCATGAACCGTCAGAACATGGGGTCCATCTTCATCCATCTGCGTTTAGCTTGGTGTTTGGGTCATCGGTGGGTCATCAGACGCCGCCACCGGTGGCGCCCAGGCTGCAGTGGACGAACTGATCGCTGAGCACTCCTGGCAACATTGGATGGCAAGACCTTGGGTTGAAAGCATGGATATTCAAGATGAGGCCAAGGAGTGGTGTTTTCCATGCTTGACACCTGGTAGTTTTTCAGAGAATTTAAGATTATACAGCGATGTTGACGCCTCCGCTCCAGATTTCGGGAATCGGCTTGCCGATTCCCAGCTCCGGATGTCGGGTGAAGTTGGAGTGGTCAAGTCGCTGCTCAAAGGGTCCAAGCATCCACCTCCGGACACCCACACGCCGCGGAAAAGACAACGAGAACGTCGCGGGTGTCGGTCGCAGTGTGTGGCCAGGCTGGCGTCGTCCCCCAAGCGTGATAGCTCTAGTACTTTGAAGGGCTTGCAGAGTGGAAGCAGTTCCGCTGCCGGAGCCCCAAAGTGCTTTTGAGCGCGGTGCCAGCCAATGTGCAGGATGGTCGCCAGCTTTGTGTTCAGCTGCATTTCGACCTCGTAGTTTGTGATTCATTTTCAGATGGTCGGACGCTTTCATCAATCGCCGTTGTCGCTATTGACAGCCACTGACAGCATGCCAAGGTCCCCACCCATGGGAAGACCGGTCCGTCTTGAGGTCTCGAAATGGGTGGCGACATGCTGGAAGGACATGTCCCTAGGGAGAAGGTACGACTGGACCCCTCCTGGCACCTACATGTCTCAGTGCCTCCGTCCTGAGAAGCTACGACTAGGGATCCCTAGGGTTTGATTTGAAGCACCTTTTGCTTTCTCCATGTTGGCCCCCAGCAAGACCAGTCGAACTCATGAAAAAGTTTCCTGAATATAGACCGGCCAGGTTTGCGGCGACACTGCCTCTACAGGCGCCCATCACGGCCCACCCCTGCACATCCCCTACAGATGGCCATCATTTGGGGGGTGTATCCCAGAGTGACCTCCTTCCCTCGAGCCATTCACAACCGAACCGAATAGATGCAAAGAGCCAAGCGGTGAATGCTGAGGTTCCCAGTGGCCCCAGGGCTTTAGCCAAGGTGAAGCAGACCGTGCGGCTGCCGAGAAACAGAATGAGTAAAGGCAGAGAAAGAAGAACAGAAGAACTCCCACAGCTAGGAAAAGTGAATGGCAGCAATAAAGAAAAATGAAATATGATCTCATGAGTCCTAGAATGGATTTAACCCAACAAAGGTGCCCTCCCTTCCCTTCATCTTTTCCTTGTCTATAAAACAAATTGTTTGTACAACCAAAGGGAACTAGAAACCATTCGTCACTCTCCAAAGAACTCCATAAATCCTGGTAGACTATACCTCGTGAGATATGTATATGATTGTATGACATGACATCCAGCACAATGAGGTCCAAGCGATATACCGACCGGGACCAGTCACGTCTTCGCCCTCCAACTCCAACCCCTCACGCCTTCGCCAAAGCGTCCCAGGTGGAGCTCGACGACTCTTTGGCCTTCTCCATGACCGCCTCGGAGCGTGGCACCGCCTCCAGCGGGTGGAACGAACCGGCCGAACCCCCACGGCCGCTACGGGACGTGCGGCGGCTACGGGATGTGCGTCATTGACCCCTCAAACCACCCCAACTGATCGGCATATATGGCAGTCCCATGGAGTGTTTGGGTATAGATATCACTTGCAAACAAAAGTTGTAAGGAAAGGCCGGTGCCTTTTTTGCATGAAACACTCGAAACTGGACCATGTGCTGCGAACCATGTGTCGCCGAGTTCTTTCCTCCGCTCCGGTCCGCGACCGCCGCCGCGGACACGCCGTCGGCCGGGTCGACCCGTCTCGGCCACGCGGGGCGAAAGTCCATAAGCTATAAGCAGCTAGCCGGTGGTGAGGAACTTCTCTAAAAGGTGAACCAACAAAGGTGTATACCATTGGTCATACCTCAAGGTTCATAGAGCTTTCTTTTCTGGAGTGGTGCATGCGACCACCAACCATGTGGTTCTTTTGGATGGTCCAGTCCTGGTTGCCGTGCCGGTGACGCCCGTCGCAGCTGTACTTTCAGACCGAGGCTCCAAAGAGATCAGCTTCTCCTTGACCGCTTGGGAGCCCTGTGGTGGATCGAACAAAACTGTTAAACAAAAACGCCGACCCAGAGGTTGTTTGTTTGTTTAAGCTTAACTGCTTACAGTGCTTTCAGAGTAGATGCAAAGAGGTCTTCTATATGGGGGTCCGTCTAAACCATCAAACTTGGGGTATGTTGTGCCGTCTGCTCTGAAACCACTGCAACTGCTTAAGTTGTCCAAATGTGGCACTTTGGCACGGCGGAAAAGTACCAGCGATAGAGGAAATGCATTTGGACGTACCATTTGCCATGTCCGACCATGATTGACGCTTGCCCTGAGACTTACATCGCCCCAAAAAGAGAGAACAGAGCAATTGGCAAAAAGCATGTCCTTTCTGTGAAAGTATCATCAATTCATGTGAAACCAATCGCTCTCCGCCTTCTCATCCGGAGACTCTGGGTGCCTCGCTAGGCGACGGAGGAGTTGAAGCCGAGCCCATCGGTTCCGTCGGAGGCGGTGAATGACCTGGGGCGGGTCGGGGCAGTGGGGAAGGGCAACGGCCAACAGCATCCGGTTGAGGGGGGAAGTGAATCGAAGACTTGTTAACCCTTTGTTTTTACAGGATCATTCTGGCAAGGCCTGGACCATCCTGAGTAGTGCAGGGTAGTCCATTGGACACCCATTGGATGGTCCTGGTATGAGATGTCTTAATTGTTTGTTATGGATGGAAAGGAACTGCCGTCGTAGCAAGTCTAGCCGTGCAAGGAACCTCCAAGGTTTGGGGCTTTTTCAACCATCCTCGGCCGAAGCAGGCGTTTTTTTAGCGCCGCTTTGGATGGCCACCGGAACCCAACCTGAACCCTACAAACAATGGAAGGTGGACATCCCCTCATCTACCAGGACCGACCCCGTTCGTCCGGTGGTTTTTGGACACCTCTTGACCTTGACCTCTTTACGAGGCTATTTAGAGACACCTTTTGGTCTCGGTCCTGGTAGAGGATCTTTTTTCAGGGGTCCACCAAGGTTACAGGGGTTTTGGACCCACACCCAGCTGGTCAGAAATTCTTCTAAGCTCCCGTAGGGTCCAAGCGCTTGAATGGAGGGGTCCAATTGCGTGCAAAACAAGCCGCTTTGACTCTGCGCGTCACGGAATCATGTTGGGCGGGTCGTTTTGGTGTTTGTGGCATATTTAGCCGATGTGAACATTGATCTTGGTTCTTCTTAGCACATGTTGCTCATTTGCGCCATCGGTTCTCGGCCATTCTGCCCTGCAGACCGCTCAGGGCGGGAGGCGAAGCGGGCAGACTGTTGGATCCACAGGCCCATGGGAATGGGATCCGCAGCGTGGGGGGCTGAGGGAACCCACCGGGGGTTCTCGGGCGAGAGGAGATCGGTAGCAGTTCGTGTTGAGAGATGGATGACTGATGGATGACTGGAGGAATGAACAGTCAAGACTGACAAGGTGAGGAGTTCAGCTTTTGTTTGGAAGTGGGATTCGCTTTCGTTGTTGACCCGGGAGATCCACACCTCTACGTGATGCAAGTTCAGCTGGAATGGTTTGACTCATTCTACCCAAGACCTTGGTGTCGATGGCAAGACCTTGGTCTTGCATGGGAGACTTGTTCTGGGCCAGACCGGGACTGACTCTTAATATACCCTTTGATGACTCACTAACATATGGAAAGTGGTTTGTACCACCAATTGGGTCTTCCCAGTGGCCCATTTCAGCTCCAGTGGAGTGGAATTCGACAGTCTTTAGACCATCGACCGGTGGCTCGACCACCGGAGATCGATCGGTCCGGGACCAGACCGATCACCGTGGATCCCCGCGGCGTGAATCGACGCAGGTTTCGGTGCCTCCCAGGACCACCATGCGCTACGAGATGCGGGGGGGCTGAGAAACGAAGCTGGATGAGCTACAGAGTGCGCATGGGCAGGTATAGTCAATATAGTATGATAGTGACAGGTTTTGACGACGAAGTCTCCACAAAGTCTGATGTAGCAAGTGGATGGTTTTCCTGTAGAGCCATTCAAAGGGGTGTTCACAAGTGGCATGAGTGAGAGAGAGAATGCAGAGTGGTCGCCGCACTCTTTTACGGCGTCATCCTTCAAGTTCTGAATCCGGTGCACATGGCGGGCACAGCTTCACCGAGGTCACCTTGTTCAGCCGATCGCGCTTCACGCCCCAAGGTCCTCACGGATGCCGCTTCTGCACGTTCCCGAAGCCCGAGCACGGAGGCGTGAGCAAAGCGAAGATCGAACTGCGAAGATCAATAGGTCTGGGTGACCCACGGTGAAGCCCGAAACCATTTCGGGTTGACATCCCCCGTCAGTTCCTTCCAATTCGGGATCCACAACCATTCCGAAACGCACAGGGCTGTGGGGTAAGAACGAATTCGTTCCATGGCTGGGTGCACCACGCTTCGCTGCCGGAAAAATGCCGCCGTCTTCGTGCTGCATGCGCTGCGACTGTCAGGGCGGGACACGAAGAGCTCCTAGGACTGGAGGTGTTGCACGGCGTGGGCACGGCGCGCGGTGCGAGCGGTGCGTGTTGTTTTCGCTGTGTTCAGTGGGGTGAAAGGATGCAGAGTGGTCGATGATTTATGTCAAATTCAAATACTGGGAGCCTAGACCGTTTTGATTTGGATGTCGATTTGGGTTTAGAGTTGTTGGATATGATGCCATTGGTGCCAATTGACCATAAGTGTAAGCAGATTGTAGATTTGTGCTCTCTTCTATTTGACGGAAGGCTGGCGGGGAGGATTTTGAGTACAAAATATGGATGCCCCCAGCTATAGTTGTTGCACCAAAAAAGGCATGCGGCTCAACTCATGGTGCACTGCTCGATACAGACATGACATGGGGTTTCCGCAGCTGTCCTGAGTCCTCTGTAAGGGTCGGACGAGCGGTCCCTGCCTTTCAGGCTTGGCCTCGCAAGATCCGCATGCTTTGCACGTTGGGGGCGCCCAGGGAGGAGCACCCCATGGTTTCGGGTTATTGAGCGCACAGATGGTGGTGAAAACTGAACATCTCACCTACGATGGGTGTCTTTTAACGGAACCACCTACTTGGAACTCTCAAGTTGCGTTTATTTTTGCTTTTGGAGCACCGAGTGCCATGTTTTGTGAAAACTTCCCCCGAAGCAATGTAGCAACACCCTGGTGCAAGAAGGTAGTCACCAGGTAGTCTTCCGAAGCTAGCTTGTAGTGCTATGTGAGTGCGGGCAGGGGGGTGAATCGACAGACGGTTTTGTTTAGGGAGTTCCATTCAATTCCGTCCTGCTGATAGACCTAGGTGGTTTGAAACTGACGGGCATGGTTTCAGTTGAAAACAGACACTATGGCATTGAACCTGACAAGTCCCCAAACACACTTGGACCCTCCTCAACGCGCAGAGGGTTTGGGGGTCTCAAATCCTGGCTTTAAGGAACCCAGCCGGATATCGTGTGGCAGAGCATCCTTTGACCCCCAGAAGCCTCAGGCTCTTTGGTTGAACTTCATGAAGCCCCTCATGCGTTTGCCATCCTTCGCCGACGATGATGTCCAGTGACATGCATGTCGACATGGACCGGTATAGCAGACGTTGATGTTTTCTTCTGCAGCAGTGTCCGGCAGTGCGGGGCTTTGCCCAATGGATTTCTTCGTTGATCTTCGAGAAGCCGCTCGGACTGATCGTGACTTAATGTCACGATCTAAAACAAAAGTGTCCCTTCGCCACTGATGCATCCTATGCTCAGTCTTTCTTTTGAGCATGGGTTCAGGGTAACTTCAAGTGAATTCACATAGCTTTAAAAGTTGACTCACACACACTCGTCCTCCAAACGTCAATCATATATACAATGCGATCACTGCACTGCGGAAGCCCTCTTGGACTTCTCCGCTCCTTCCGTCACAGGGCCGCTGGGGCGCCAAAGAAACGCGCCCAGGTCTTGGGAGATGCCCTGCCACCACGGTCGCCCAGCCCACACCAGGCGACGGAGGCCACGGCAAAGCGGGTGGATGGGGCAGGGCCAGGCTTTTCGCGAAGAAGATGATGTGCCATGCCCACCATGTCTGTCGACAAGCAGTTCCCTACACAATGGCCAGTTGTCGGTCCAACTGCTGTTGAAGCAAGACATTTAAATTTGGACCAAAGTTGGACATCCTAGATTTAAGCTGGTGCCAAACTAACTTCTTCCTCATATGCCTAAAGGCAATCCATGGAAGTGGAGTTCGCTACCTACAGTGGTTGCAGAGTAGATGGCACAATCCCAGTCACAATCGCCCAAAAGGTGGTTTAAGTGGACCCCTATATTTAAAAAGACATCTTGGGGTTTGTGCCGTCTACTCTCAATCCACTACAGTTGTAAAGGAAAATTGTCTTCCAGGGGGCCATGCCATTCACTGCCATGATGATTCCAGGGAGTCCAGTCTGTCGAAGGCTTCTTATTAAACAGAAGCCTCGTCCGCAGTGATGTCAATTGGGCCGACCCTGATGATGAAGGTGGGCAACTTTGCAGAACCGTGCAGAACCGTAATGGTTATTTGGTACGAATTCCAGAAGCTGCTTGCCGTCTCAGTTTGGCTATGGGGGTAATTGTGCTATGATGTTCTTTGGTTGGCCCCCGGCGCACGTTAGCACTTCGACAACCCACCCAACAAAAACCAATGCATCCGTTTCCTTCTTTGCGAGTCCAGGCCATTGGCAAGCGAAGGGGGTCCCCAGCCGGCACTGGAGGCGCGCCGCCATGTTGTAGCTGAGGATTGCAACCTCCAGATCCATGTGGTTGCAAGTTGGAAGCCACTGACATATAGCATATTATAGCCATAGCATCCAAACGGGCCAACGGGGTGGGGGGATGTTTCGTTGATTGGTTGCCGGTTTCAACCCTCAGGGGCCTTGTTCCGTCCAAAAGATCATGGCCCGAAGACGAAGCAATCCCAAACACTCCATGTAATGGGTGTATGGCATATGTACCTACATTGGGGTGGTTTTGGGTGTCAATGTAGGCATATATATGGCATACATGATGGAGTGTATGGAGTGTCTGGGAATCCCACCAATCCCAGTCACCCGGGCGCGCACCCTCGCGACCTGTCGCCAGGTTTGGCAGCTTCACAGGACCAACACGCACTCAGAGATGCAGGGGAGACCCAAGTGTCCGGATCTCTCTCGGATCCGTTGGCTTTGCATCCTCGTGTTAAGGCTACTAGGAACAAGGTGCATCGCTACGTTCGTAACAAGTGCCTTACTAGTAGTAACAAGAAGCGAACGTAGTAGAAACAATATAAGACGTGTTATTCCTTGGGAATTGAATTTGGATGGTTTTTTCTGCGGAGACGAAGCGGCGAGAGGCGGTGGATCATGGTTTGCTTGAGCTCTCTCTCTCTCTATAGTTTGGGGACCCCTGAAAAACGCCGTCGATCCCTGTTTTGGAGTTCATTCTCTTCAGATCAGCCAAGCGTGGCAGAGACGCTTCAAGTCCCAATTTAGATGTTGGACATTTCCCAGCACCTCCTTCTATCTCCTTCTTAGAACCACCCAACAATTACCCACAACAGCAAAACACACACATCCACACTCCAACCAGTTGAGGATTCTCCTCCCATCCAAGGTCCTGGGCAATGCCTTGGGTCCTTCCGCATCGGCCTCGCATCACGTGCCCGTCCTCAACCAATCCACCAGCGAGGCTGTCGGTGCCGTCGTTACGTGCCGCCCTGGAGAAAGTGCTGTCGGTGTGTGTGTGTGTGTTTTTGTTGGGTGGTATTTCCTCAAGCGATCCCGGGGGGGGTGGACTGAAAGGCGAGGCGATCCGAGCCGGATCCGAGCCATTTTGGGGTCGGTTTCCGGTCCAGTGAGGCATGATACTTGGAGTGACGATACTTGGGACTGCTGGGATACTTGGAGACCTCCTTTTTGGGATTGAAGATCTGAAGGTTTCATTGGAACGCAAAAGGTTTCATTGATGCATTTGAGGCATTGCTTCGACCTAGACTTTTAAAAGTTGATTGACCCCGTCAAGTAGTTGAAAGCCCTCGCGACATGTTTTGGACGCATTGCACATCCTACCAGCACAAGTATGATCGAGATTTCCCCAACTACTGCGGATAATCTAGGACCCACAAGGGGTGGTTAATGGACACCCCTTAAATCCCCTTAACCTCTAAGGGGCTATCAATAGACACCCCTGGTCCGGGTGTCCTGGTTTGGGCTGTGCAAGCGGCCGCCCGTGTGAAGCACCGTCAGTCTATTGGACTCGTTTGGTCTGATGATCATCCTGTCGGGACCAGCGTCATCCATGGTGGCATGTCCACGAAGAATTCAGAACCAGAACCTTGACCTTGGATCCGGTCACGAGTCACGGCCTTGAAAAGGTACCAATCCTGAAGAGGTCACGAACTGCAGGTCCTGGAACATGTATATATATATATATACGAGGGACCTCCATGTATAATGTAACGTACTATTTTTTCTAATAGTATTATCATAATATATATAAAAGGACACTTCAAGTTATATAAAACAAACTATATCAAACAACGAAAACCAATTTTTTTGTTTTTTTTATAATTCTATTTTTGAGACCTACTACAAAATACCAATGAAACAACTACATATGTTTTTTTGCGGTCTTACCAAAAAGTAGAAACAAATAAATCCTTCAGGTTTCAAGGTTTCCAGGTATTTAGAAATTCTAAAAAACTAAAAAAACTAAATATTTTTTTTAGGTTTTTTAGGTTTTTTTTTTTAAGCCGCAAAACTAAAAAAACTAAAAAAACTAAATATTTCAGGTTTCGAGGTTTCCAGGTATTTAGAAATTCTAAAAAAACTAAATATTTAGTTGTTTAAGGTTTTCACGAAAGCTAGCGAAGCTAGCTGGAGTTACTCTTGCGATAGCAAGGTTTCTTTCGACCGGGTGCAAATCCTAACCCCTGATTTTTCAGGTCGAAGACCCCCCCCCCCCCC